CCCTTGTCCTCTGTCCCCTCTGCTTCCAGCCCGCCTTTGAGAACCTTTAGAACACATCTGACTGTATCTCCCCAGTAACAAGCCTTCCGTGGCTCCCCAGGGCTGGCTGGGCAGCGTCTCATGCCCCCTCAGAGCCCCGAGGCATCTCTCTGCCCTCCTCCGGCTCAGCCTTCCCCGCTTCTGTCTGCAGCTGCCATGTTCTCACTCACATTCAGAACACACCAAATCCTCTCAAATGCCAGATTTTGTTTCTTTTTGTTGGTATTCACCCAGGTTGGCTTTGAACTTGTGATCTCCCTTAGTTTCTCAAATGCTGGGGTTACAAGTACACGCCCCCTTATTCAGTTTATACACCAACCACCTCCCTAAACATCACCGGGTGTGTTGCTCGCCTCCCTGTTCATCACCCCTTTCGGGGGATCATTTCTGCAGACACGTCAGGGGTGGTGTGAGTTCATCCGCCCCTGCTCTCGCGTTCTCACCCTGACTCAGCCAGCCACTCTTCCTTTGCCTGCATTGCAGCCGTGGCTTCTGCTCATTCTAGAGACAGCAGTTTCCTCCTTCACACTGGGCCTTCTGCCGGGAGCGCACCACCCAGACCAGGCTCAACTCTTCTCCACCCTTACTGCCCCAATCATATTCAGCCCACAACCCTTCCATGTCCTGTACAGAGGTCAGTGGTCCTGGGGATGGATCTCAGGGCCTCGTACATGCTAGACAGTGCCCTGACACTGACCCACAACAACCCCGCCCCAAGAAACATTCTCTTTTCCTTTTTTTCTATTTTTGGTTTTTCGAGACAGGGTTACTCTGTAGCTTTGCGGCCCATCCTGGAACTAGCTCTTGTAGACCAGGCTGGTCTCGAACTCACAGAGTTCCGCCTGCCTCTGCCTCCCGAGTGCTGGGATTAAAGGCGTACGTCACCACCACCCCGCTTGAAACATTTTCTTTTTGAAGCAGTGTCTTCTTAGTGTGGGCCCAGACTGGCCTCAGTCACAGTGCTGGCATCCAACAGGCGGCTTCCTGTTGGCTGGTATTATAGGTGTGTCCCGCTGTGCCTGCCTGCCACGGATGCTTTTGAATAAATAAACAGGTGTATTCCCATTGTATTGATGTGGAAACCAAGGCTCAGAGAAGTGACTGTCATCGCGGGTCACTTAGGGAGTTGGTTGCTGAGTATGTCTTTGATGTGGCTCAGTGGTCCCCGGTGTTTCCCTGAGAGTGGGTGGGTCTTAAAGTACAATTCCCACAATGCACAGAGGCCTCCGGTAGGCAGTGGACACAGGGCTAAGGGACAGGGAAGGTTGATCACTGACAACCTCCGAGCCAGGCGGCCCCTTCCCTTGTTCTCTAGGTTTCCAGTCCCAGCTCCGCCTCCTGTTTGCCCAGGTTGGGAGGGCAGCTTTACTGACGGGATGGGGATGGAGGACAGCTGATGGGCCTGGCCTGGAGCAGCAGGGAAGGCTGGGGGAGGGCTGGCACCCCCAACCCCTTCCCTCATCTCTGTTCTTACTCAGCTCTGCTGGGACTGGGACGTGTGGCTGTTTCTGAGAGCTGTGTGCTTGTATGCAGTCCTGATGGCACATGCTTTCCTAAATCTCCTGTAGACTCCAGGGAGGGGTGGCAGGATGCTGTGCTTAGATAAGGACCCTGCCTTGAGCAGCTTAGGGTCATGGCACTGGACATGTTAGGGCTGGGCTTAGCACATGACGCCGTCCAATCATTAGCCGATCGGCTAGGAGGGAAGCGCAGCCCCCAGCCCTGAGCTCTGAGCTACATTTCCTCAGAGTGCGAGCACCCACAGTCCTATCTCTGGGGCGTACCACCTGCTAGGAAGGCAAAATCAAGGCCAAGAGGGGGCTCACATCTCTCAGTTCTGATTTTCCTTGAGAAGCAGACAGTAGCCACTAATTTCTTCTCTATCGTTTAGTTCTGGGAATGGGCCCAGAGAGGTCAGGTCACTTGCCTAGGGCCACACAGCTAAGCAGCATAGCCAGCAGGCCTAGAACCCAGTTAGCCTATAGATCTCAGGGTGGATCAGACCTGACTCTGCTCCCATACCCTCCGCCTTTCTTCTTGTGCCTCCATACCCCCATTTCTGGGGCTAGGCCCCAGCACTGACACCAAGGCGAGGGGGTTTGTTGCCCCATTTGTGTTGGGGGCCACACTCATCCAGATAATCAGGGAGCTGGTGGGGGTTACAGGCGTGGCTTACAGAAGGCCCTCTGAGCCAATTCATACCCTTCCCTATACAGAAGGAGAAGATCCGAGAGAAATTCGTGGAAGCCCTGAAGACGGAGTTTGCTGGCAAGGGGCTGAGGTTCTCCCGAGGTATGCCTTTCCTGCGGTGGGCTCGGGCCCAGCAGGGGACGCTATTTACCTATGCCAGTTTTGCCCGCCTTGTCCAATGACCGCCTGACGTTGGTCCTCACCCTTCCCGTGCCCAGTCCAACTGGCTAGTAGTCGAGGGCTCCACAGATCTTTCCGAAGCTGGCAACTCAACTCCTGCCACTAGCTGCTCCCCGAGACTCCTGGGTCGTCCGCCATCGCCATCTCGGCTTGTTCCCCAGTAGCCAGAGGGGAGAGCAGATGCCATGGTCACTTAGAACCTACCATGTGTCTGCTGCCTGGAGCCCCCTGGGTACTCCCACTGTGGTTTGTGTCCCAGCTTAGTGTCGCCTTGGCTCTCCCTGGCCATGCTGACTGAGTGAGCCCACCTTTGCTCCTGCTTGCTGCTGGCCTGGATGAGACCCTACAGATCCCAAGTCTGCTCTTGGTGGCTTTCAGGGTTGTTGAATGAACAAAGCGCCTTAGAGCCAGGCGCGTTGCCACGTGTCTCTAATCCTGGCACTTAAGTAGAAGCAGGAAGATGGGGCTTCAAGGCCTTTCTTGGCTGCATAGTACAAAGCCAAACTGGGTACACGATTCTGTCTCAAAAACAAAGCATGTTTTGCCCAACTTAGCCTCGTGAGCTTCCCTGACAAGCTGCCAGCCTTGCCTGTCCCTCTCAGGCTTTTGTCATGACCCCCACATCATCCACAGGAGGCATGATAAGCTTCGATGTCTTCCCCGAGGGCTGGGATAAGCGCTACTGCCTCGACAGCCTGGATGAGGACAGCTTCGACATCATCCACTTCTTTGGGAATGAGACCAGTCCTGTGAGTGTGGCCCTGCCCAGGTCCCCTCAACCCAAAGCACCTGAGGTCAAGGCTAGGGACACGGGCGATAGAACAGAGACCTGTCAGGGCCTCCCAGGAGATAATCAGTGCTCCCACTCCGCAGTTCAGAAGACGAGGAGCCAAAGAGGGCTGGACACTTGTTCCATGGTACACAGCAGGTTGGGGTAGATCTGAGAAGCCAGGATGGTGGGATTCCTGGCAGTTCCAAGGAGAGGCAGGTCAGCAGGAGCCTGGATGGGAAAGGTGTCTCTTGGACCTCAGTCCTGGGCTCCTCCTACCCTGTGGGCATCACCTAAGATCACATCTTCCATGTCCTCCTTCTGATTGCAGGGTGGCAATGACTTTGAGATCTATGCAGACCCCCGGACTGTCGGCCATAGCGTGGTCTCTCCTCAGGATACTGTCCAACGATGCCGAGAACTTTTCTTCCCAGAGACAGCCCACGAGGCCTGACGGTGACCACCGCTGAGCACTGGGACCTTCAAAGAACTCTGTCCGGGCCTGAAGAGAGAACCATGGGGTGCCAAGGTTCCCACTTTGGTCCGGCATGCAGCATCACATGGGCACAAGGTCCACCCACATAGAACCAAGATCTGTGTGGCAACTGTCTCCAGCCAGGTGCCTCCTGATAAGGCTTATTCCTGCACTCCACTGATGGCCCTGGCTTCTGATGCTGCTGGTCTTCGGGACAGACTAGGATTCACTCCGAAGGGAGGCATGCGAGTTCTGTGGAGCCTGCTGGCCACAGACTGACAAGGGGCAGAGAGGCAGGGAAGGGGCACTACTAAAAAGACTGTTGCGATATTAAAGTTCCTAAGACAAGGTGTGTTAGGTGTGTCTGAAGATATGATGGTTCCTGTCACATGCGCGTAGGGCCACACTCTGCCGATGAGAAAATACAGGGACAGAAGCTTGTCCCAGGATGTCTTTGATCCACTGAAGCCCCAGACATGGCCAACATGCTTTGTACTTCCTCAGCCCCTTCCCCAAGGACCCTCACAGACAGGCAGCTCAGGAGCAGGCTGGGTCACAGTTGAGTTTATTGCCAGTGTTAGGGGGGATGGGTAGTCCGTGGCTGGGGTCTGGGTGGGGAGGTTTCTGACTCAGCATCGCAGAACCCGAGAGGAGAGAGGAGGCCTGATGCCCCCCGCCACTCAGGCAGCCTCGAACTGATGCCCGAAGAGGACACGCTCGGAGGAGGGAGGCCTGGGTGGCCCTGGGGTCCACCAGTACCAACATGTTCCCTGTCAAGGATCTGCCTGTCTCTGTCACGCAGTGGTGGGTGACAGGCATGTTGGGGATTTGAACTCGGGTCCTAATGGTTACAGAGGACAGTGCTTCAGGGACAGACCTTGCTGGAAAAGCCTAGTTCACAGTGGGATGTCAGATAGGTAGGTCTTTTCCAATAAGAGGGATGAGCCAACACTTAACAGTCCTAGACTGCCAGCCTCTGTGCAAAGGGTTCTATTCTAGGACAAGGTGAGGTACAAACACCCCAAATGACTCTACCCTGTGGACACCTAAAAGGCCACCTAGATAATCACTGACCCCTTCATCTGGGCACCTGGGCCCATGCTTTACTTGCAGACTAGGTCTCATAAGGGTCACTGTTGAGGCAGGTCCTTCCTGAGCCTGTGATCCCACTTATCCTCCTGTTAGGTGATGGGCTCTCTAGAAGGGATACATCTTAGCCCAGACGGACTCCAGATAAGAGGGACAGTCACACTTGAGGGATGGACGAGATAAGTGCCATTTCAGCCACCGACCTGTCAGGGATCTATAGGAACCACTGTATAGCTTTGGGAAGAGGGTCTAATTTGAGGGGTGGGGGTGGGCAAGGCCAGTGGTCTCCCTGACTGAGGACCATTCCTTTGGGTGCCTGGATCTGGCCTTGCCTGAGGTGGTGCGTCAGTCCATTGCTGCATCCTCAGCCGCTGTCATGGCCAGCACTGGGCAGGGCATCCACAGAGCTTGTGCATCACGCAGAAGAGATGGTTCTGTCCAAACTGGAGGAAACTATGTCCCCTCCTCACCTTGGGGACAGAATAAGCTTGGCTCTCCCAGCTCAGGAAGGAACCTAGCTTTTTGGGGTTCAAAGTGGCCTCTGCCGGCTGAGGAGAGAGGACTGGCTATGCCATGTTCCCTCCAGGGCACCGTAAGGATGGCGTCAGGAAGATGAGCTAAGTTATGGCACGGGCTGGCCATGAACCATGTTTTGTCTGCTTCCTCCCTAAAGTGGGAGGCCCCTACAAAGTACTCAGAGGCCTGGCTTCTGAGAGGAAGCACCCAGGTCCAGCATAGGAGACAGGAACACAAGCAGACAGGGCTAGGAACCAGACTGAGTGGGTCTGAGGACAGCAGTGAGGAACAGGCTCATGGGAGAGGGGTCTCCCTAGGTTCTCAAGAACACGACGCAGGCCCACGGTATATAGGTAAGAGGGCAAGAAGGTCGTGTGTTTCCGTGGCAGGGTTGGAGGAAGGAGAGACGGGCCAAGGCCGGGCTGATGGCTGCACTCCATCCAACCCTAGGCCAGATCACACAAGTCATGGGTCACAGGTGGGCAGAAGCACACATTCACAGCCACAAAGCACAGACAGACGGACAAACGAGCACACCCAAGGGCTGGTCAGCAGCACAGTGGGAGTACAGAATGGGCTGCTGCCTGCCTCCTCGTGGGCATGCCCCCCCACCTGCCTAGGATCCCACAACCTGGCCAGACCATGTCTCGTGGGGAGTGTGGGGGGCCAACTGGGTGAGCACCACCTCTACGGCCTGAAACTTCTGGTTCTTGGGTGGGATGGGACACATCTTGTAGGTCACCTCATCGCCTTCCACGGGGACATACTCCCCCTCGATGCTGGTGGACAGAAGGGGAAGGATCAACACAAGAACAAACCCGTCCACAGACAGCATTGTGGCCCCTGGCCTTGCCCCTAGCCTTGCTAGACCAGGGACCCTCTGCCAACTTCTCAGAGCCCAAGTGTTCTGGGCTGTGAAAGGGCAATCTGGAAAGTCCCTCCCTCTCTGGGGACAGAGAAGAAGGTCTCCTCTCAGGACTCCCGTAATCTTAGCATAGGACCCCAGGGTCTCAGCAGTGATTACCATGGTTCTGGGGACTGCCTACTGATCCCTAAATGGCCCCAGCCCACCCCATCCCAGGACTCCTCAGAGCAGGGATAGCCAGCAGGAACCCCCACCTCAGCAGCTAGGGGAGGATCAGGTGACACTGGACACTTAGACAAGGCCCAATCAGAAACAGAAATAGAGGGGACTCACTCAGAAACATGCACGAAGATATCCTCGGAGCCATTCTCAGGGGTGATGAAGCCATGGCCTTGTGAGCGGGAGAACTGTTTACAGACGCCCTTGAACACGGGGCCAGCCGAGGCGCGAGCTGTCCTGGGGAGAGGGTAAGGGATTGGAGCTTGACCTGGAGAGCCTGTTCTTGGACCCCCAACAATACTGCCATTCAGCAGGTAACAAAGAGTGGGGTCCAGAGTGGGGCAATGGCCTGCCCAGTGTGTCTCGGTTTTGTACAAGGGCACCTCCTGGCTCCTTATCAGTGCCTCTCTGGATAGCACCTTCCATCCCGAGTTTAGACTTTAATGGCTTCCGCTTGGGAGATGTCGGAGTGGAGCTAAGTAGTAGGTGGTTTGCCTGCCACATGTAAGGCTCAGGCTCCATCTCAGAACCAATAATTAAATTAACTAAAAAAAGAAAAAAAGAAGAACTGAAGCTAAGAGGCACCTTGCCATCTCTCATGGCAGCTGAGCCACTGCTGGCCACTAATTTTCATGTGCTAGAGATTGAGCATCTGCTCTGTCCCTGGGTCAGACACAGGACAATGCACGCTTGCTATCCAGAGTAGTAATGATAATAAACGCCTCGCAGCCAGGCACACAAGTGCACTCAGAAATCTGGAATAAGACAACCAACCAAAGCCCTAGCTCAAAAAACCAAAACAGAAAACAGACAAGGAGATGGCTCAGTGGGTAACAATGCCCTTGTTAAGATTGACCACCTGAGTTTGAGCCCCAGAACCCACATGGTAGAAGGAGAGAACCCACTCCTGAGAAGTTGTCCTCCGGCCTCCACACACACACACACACCTACACACACACACGTGCATACACAACCACACACAATCATAATCAAAAATACATGTAAACAGGCTGTGGTAGGTAAACACACACATACACAGGCTGTGGTACGCGCGCACACACATACCACCACCACCAATAAGTGGAAAACTCCTTGGTTCCCACAGACCCTCCCCATCTGGCCTCACCCAGCACCCCCCCAGAGGCCCAAGGCTAGTCCCTGGCAGTCCACGACCCTCCCCTATAGATTCACTCTAAAGTTCCCACCTATAACACTCAAGCCCTTTTGTTTTATTTTATTTTTGAGCCGGTCTCACTATGTATCCCTAAGCTATGTTACTCAAGTCCCTTCCTTCTTCATCTGACACATCTTCGGACTCATCTAGGTGTCCTAATTCACTGCACCCCAGGCTAAGTCCTTACCCAGTCTTCAGAACCTCTCCGGATTGCGGACATGGCTCATTCACCCCTACACTCCAGTCACCGTAACTGGTAACTGGGATGAAGGCATGAGGGAGGTGACACAGAGGTCACTGGAAGGTTGCACAGCTTCCTGGGAGGACAGGCAGGCTTGGCCCCGGCCTAGAGAAAGTTCATGGGACCTGGGGGAGGGCAATGTACTCACGCTGAGTATGTCCTGGTCCGTTTGGTAGGCAGAGGGCTGGGCAGGTCCCGAGGAGCGATACCACCACCACGTTCCCAGATCCTACTGCCCTCCCTGTGGAAGGGGAAAGTGGGCCAGACAGGGGACTTGGGGGAGTGGAGAGGTGGCACCACTGGAGGTGATGTAGGCTCTGATGTCATGGTGGGGCCAGCAGGAGAGCCCGGTGGGCTCTGAGGCACGGGGGCCGGTGAAGGACTCTGGTGTCCTTTCAGGCAGGGCCCGGCCTTGCCCTGCTCAGTGGCCTCACCAGCTATGGACTCCGTCTACAAGAGAAGAGAGAAACACAGGTAGATGCAGCCAGGGAACAGCTCTGGAAACTGGACACAAGCTGAGAGGGCTGTTGAGGTCAGCCACTCCCGAAGGCACTCACAGCCCCACCCTGCAGGAGCATCCTCACCAGGAAGACAAAACAGTCACATAGCTCAGCACGAGTGAGGCTTTGGCCTTAAGTCCAACACTAAAACAAAACAAGGGGTTGGGGAGGTAGCTCGGCTGGTTGAGTGTTTGCATGGCCAATACCACATAAAACCAGGTGTGGACCTGGCATGGTGGTGCACGCCTTTAATCCCACCACTCTGGAGGCAGAGACAGGTGGATCTCTCTCTGAGAGTTTTAGGCCAGCCTATTCCACATAACTAGTTGCAGAACAGCTAGGGCTACGAAGAGAGATCCTGTTTCACACACACACACACACACACACACACACACACACACACACACGACAGGTATGATGTTGTATCTGTGCAATAATCCTGACACACCAGAGGTAGAAGCAGAAGGACCCGAAAGTCCAAGACTGTCCTGGATTCCAAAGTAAGCTTGAACCCAGCCTGGTCTATAAGGGACCCTGTGTCACAAAACAAAATAGAATCCCTAAATTCAGATGGACACGGTTGTGGCACACACCTTTAATCCTTGCTTTTGGAGGGCAGAGGCAGAGGCAAGTGGATCTCTGAGTTCGAGGCCACCTGGTCTACAGCAATAGAAAAGAATTCCTAAATTCTTACAATTTGCAGTTTAATTCCTAATTCTACAACTCAGGGCTAGGGAGGGAGGACATGTGGTGGCCAAGATTTGGCACAAATGTTAGTGGCCTCAAATTCACACACAGCTCTAGGTTCAGATTTCTTACCTATGATTTGGTGACCTCCCAACAGTGCCCACTTGACAAGTCATATGGGCTCCACTGGCTGACTGCCCCCAGTCAATACTCTTGATGTTTGATAGCATTTCCTGCTGCACACTATGGCTAGTATTTTTTAGGGAGGTTACCCCGAGGCCCAAACGCCATCCAATATGCCCCCAAACAGGAGCGGTGAGCACATGGTGAGCTCTTGGGAATGTGATCTATTTTTCATTAACCCAGTTTCTGCCTCTCAAAATGAGGTTGAAGGGCTCGGTATGTAGTGTGTAGCCCTGGCTGTCCTGGAATTGCTTTGTAGCCCAGGCTGGCCTTGAGCACAGACTCTGACTCCTGACTGCTGGGATTAAAGGTGTGTGCCACCCCTGCCCCACTAAAATTTTACTTTCCCCCTCTGCCTCCCGAGTACTTGACATTGAGTTTAGGGCCTCACCCATGCAAGGCAAGGGCTCAACCACCGATTTAAGTCTCCAAGGACCTCATCACCCTCTTCTCAATGCTCTCATCAAACCAAGTCCTCATGGCTGCTCGTGAATACTGAGTACTCCCTGCTCCTCAACTATCGAGTGTGCTTTAGAGGAAAGCAAACACAAAGGAACAACTGCCCCACCCCAAACCAGAAGCTTCAGGTGAGCGTAGAGACTCACACCTATAATCCTAGCACGCCCGAGACCGAGACAGGAGTTCCGAGAGGCTGCAAGTTCAAGGACGGTCTGGGCTACAAAGGATACAGAGGAGGATCCCTGTCTCAAACAAAACTTAAAAAAAGAAAAGGAAAGAAAAGAAGAAGGGAGGGGCATGGAGATAACAGACTCAAAAGTCAGGCACTTAAGGGCTCTTGCAGAGGACCCCAGATTGCATACTCAGCACTTATAGGGTGGCTCAAACCTGTTTCTCCAGTTCCAGGGGATCTGATGCCCTCTTCTGGTTTCTTTTCTTTTTTTTGGTTTTTCAAGACAGGGTTTCTCTGTGGCTTTGGAGCCTGTCCTGGAACTAGACCAGGATGGCCTCAAACTCACAGAGATCCGCCTGCCTCTGCCTCCCGAGTACGGGGATTAAAGGCATGTACCACCACCACTCAGCCCTCTTCTGGTTTTCAAAGGTACTTCATGCACCTGCACACACCACACACATACACACACACACACACACACACACACACACACAGATGTAAATACACACAAAAAATGGAACTCACATACAAATAGCCACAAAGTTCTACCACCAATAACCCAAGGGCAGATAAAGAAAGGGGGAGCTAACAGCCTGCAATCTACCAGCCGTGGAGCAGAAGTGGGCCCTAAGCAGGGGTGAAGTACTGCTTCCTGTCCCAACACAAATGAGCCTTGAGAGCTCCTCAGAAAAAGCCGTTCCAATAGCACAGGAAGGGCTGGATCTGCTGTCACGGGGTCAGGAGTGGGGTGATTAGTGGTAGGTCATCTCTTTTAGGGTGCTGGCGACTAAAAATGTTTATTTAGTAAGCACTGTGCTGACAGGTGGTGAATCCACTGGGCTTTGTGATGTTTTGATCTGGAGCTGGGCATGGTTGCCACCTAGGCAAGCTCTCTCCCTGAGCTCCACCCCGCTTCCAAACAAATAAACTGCATCTCAAGTGTGAATTGCATCTCAATAAAGCTGTTGCCAAAGATAAGGCAGGCACCAAAGTCCCCAGGATCACCCTGCTGGAGAAGCCCTGGTCCCAGGCCCTTAGTCCCCTCTTGGTGAGGGAGACAGCCATGGAGACAGCCTTGCTTTCTTGGTGGGAACCAGGGCCACTGGGCTTCCCCACTATAGTTTCCCAAGACCTGGTGGTGTGCTGGGCGGTGGCAGCTAGCACCAGGAGGTCCATATGGGAAGAGACTGAAGGAGACACGGTGGTTACCAAGGAGAGGAAGGGATTGAGAGGGGCTGCTCCACCAGCCAGGTGGTGGTGCCTCGGTGGCATGGGCAACAGACTGAGCTGCCAGGGAGAAGGAAAGGTCACACTGCCACCTGGGTGAGCTCTGGAAATGACTCAGAGGCAGCAGCTGGGGGCAGGGCAGGCCTCACGAGCAACAAAAAGAGCAGGCCTTCCTTCCCAGGGCTCTTCGCCCTAGCTAAGAGGGCTGGAGCTGGCTAGAGGCAGTTCCTACTTCAGGAAACTTACTTCTCCCAGGCCTGGCCTCATGGACTAGGGAGCTGAATGAGAACCAGCCCTCCCTCCTCAGGGGCTCTGAGGTACATGTGGGAGTGTCAGGCAGGTGCTGAACCATGGGGTATCAGTTCTGTAGATGGGGCTGGTTCCTGACTGGGTCCCCTCTGCTCCCCTCCCTCCCTCCCTCAAGGACTGTTCCTCTGCTCCTGTCTGGCTTCATTGCCCCACAGCTCCCTTTCTTGGTTCAGTTCCCACAGCATCCCTTAAGGGTTAGTGTTATTACCCCACTTTACAGACAAGGAAACTGAGGCTCAGGTTAAATCTTCCTCTGGAAGAGCAGGAAACCATTCTCAACTGCTGAACATTCTCTCTCCAGTGCCCCACCCCCCTTTTTATGTAGTCCATGCTGGCCTTGAACTAGGTTTGTAGTCATGTATGTATGTATGTATATATGTATTTAAAGATCTTTATTTATTTTTTCTTTGAGCTAGGCTAGGCAGTGGTGGCACAGGCCACTTGGGAGGCAGAGACAGGCGGATCTCTGAGTTCGAGGCCAGCCTGGTCTACAGAGCTAGTTCCAGGACAGGCTCCATAGCTACACAGAGAAACCATCTCAAAAACTAGAAAGGAAGGAAGGAAAGGAGTGAGGGAGGGAGAGAGGGAGGAGGAAGGAAGAAAAGGAAAAACTCAGGAGGCAGAGGCAGGTGGGTCTCCGTGAGCTCAAGGCCAGCCTGGTCTACAAGAGCTAGTTCCAGGACAGACTCCATAGCTACACAGAGAAACCCTGTCTCAAAAAAAAAAAAAAAAAAAAAAAAAAAAAGAGAGAAAAAAGAAAAGAAAAAAAGCAATGTGACACCTAGGGAGACAAGAATAGGAAAGCACAGAGCCCCCAGCTCTGACTCTGTCTTCAGAATATTGATGCAGGGAAGGGCAAGTGGCATCAAGGCTTTCATTGTTTGGATGCCAGTACGCTGGGCAGAAAGCCTTTCGGGTTGGTTTTCTGTTTTTGCTTTTTCAAAGATGTGTTTATTTGGGCCGGGCGCCTTTAATCCCAGCACTCGGGAGGCAGAGGCAGGTGGATCTCTGTGAGTTTGAGGCCAGCCTGGTCTACAAGAGCTAGTTTCAGGACAGGCTCTAAAGCTACAGAGAAACCCTGTCTCGAAAAAAACAAACAAACAAAAGACTTCTTTACTATGGATACAATGTTCCACCTGCATGTACACCTGCAGACCAGAAGAGGGCACCAGACCTCATTACAGATGGTTGTGAACCACCATGTGCTTGCAGGGAATTGAACTCAGCTTAGGAAGAACAGCCAGTGCTCTTAACCACTGAGCCATCTCTCCAGCCTATTGGGTTGGGTTTTTTGTTTGTTTGTTTTGGTTTTGGTTTACATTTGTTTGTTTCTTGGGGTACAGGAGACTGAGGTAGGTCTCAAGTAGTCAAGCGGAGCCTTGAACTCCTAACCCTCCTGTCTCCACCGCCTAGCCCCTGAGTTATTATAGGTATCACCATCACACCTAGCCTGTGTGGTCCAGGGGCTAAAACCCAGGCCCTCATACAGGCAGGACAATGTGAGACCCAGAATGTGATCCACCATGAACAGGCGTGTCCTTGACCATGCCCAGTGGCTCTGGCCCACCAGCTTGCTCTTCATTTCCTGCCTGAAAATCCAACCAACGGACCACCTCTGCAGGGGTAGGACCAGGAGCGGCAAAGCCAAAACATCAGGACTGCTTGGGGAGATGACCTAAGGTGTCGTGGGACCAGAGCACCCAGGACAGCAAGGCAGCCCTGACAACAGGTGACCAGAGCCAGCGGGAACTTTGCTCCAATTCTCAGCTCGCCTCAAACTCACAGAGATTCACCTGCCTCTGCCTCCCGAGTGCTGGGATTAAAGTTGTGTGCCACCACCATCAAATACAAGCGGCTCTCTTGACAATGAGACTCGCCTTTCAGTGTGGGGACCCCAGTGAAAGCAAGAGGCCCCCACCACTGGCACTGGGTGACCTGGAACAAGCAGCTGTCAGTCATTCTCCAGGCTTCACCTTTATCCCTAGACACATGAATCGTTGCTCATCCAGGTGACTAACGAAGGCCAGTCTATCTCTCTTCTCAGGTTAAATGCCCATTTGGGCCTACCCAAGGAGAGAGTTCCCAACCCATGTCCTACAATATTTACACACACACACACACTAAAACTCAGCGAGAAACACTAGGGCAATACACATAGGGAGGAAGCCTTGACCGCAGAGGGTATCCATCTACTGTGGAAGATGAGACTGGCTGGCTGGAAGCCTTGACCGCAGAGGGTATCCATCTACTGTGGAAGATGAGACTGGCTGGCTGGCCTTCATCTGGCAAGTCTCTGCCACCCTCTCTCAGTTTAGACACCTGTCAGACTCTTGTTCCGTTTGTGTCTCATAAGAAGCCTAAATAGTAATTACCACCAATGTACCCATTCTTCAGAAGAGAACACCGAGGCCCAGAGGGGCGAAGAGACTCACTGAAGTCACCCAGCTAACCCAGTAGCTCTCTTGAGCCCTGGAGAGGTGTGGAAGGGGGGTGTGCAGCCAAGGCAAGGCGAGAAAACCCTCCATTCCCTGGACAAAACCTCCCACCTCCAGTCTCCCCCGAGAAGGATGTTCAGGGCCAAAGAAGAAGTAGGGAGCCAGGATTTGGGGTTCTATTTCTGGTGTTTGCTGAGTCAGCCCATGACCTTGGGTGAATCATTCACCAACTCTGCTAAGCTTAAAAACAACTCCCCCAATAAAAGTGTTCCAGCCCCAAGTCCCCATTATGGGGGTGCCACTAGGGAGGACTGGGTACATCTGTTTAAAAATAGAAAGGCAGGGAACACAAGGACGGTGGGGGGGAGAGCTGGCTCAGTGTCTTAGGCTTGTCCGTGCTGGGTCCTGGGGAGGTGAAAGAACAACCTGGGGACCACCTGCCTGGCTCCGCCCTCCCCCAGCTGCTCAGACACTCCTTAAAGCCCACCAGTGCCAAAAGCTGCCCTTGCATCTGGAGGTGACCTAATTAAACCTGATTCCGTTCCCTCCATGGTGCGTGCGTGTGTGTGTGTGTGTGTGTGCGTGTGTGTGTGTGTGTGTGTGCGCGCGTGCATGTGTGCGTGCGTGTGTGTGTGCGTGCGTGTGTGTGTGCGTGCGTGTGTGTGTGCGTGCGTGTGTGCGCGTGCGTGTGTGTGTGTGTATGCGTGTGTGTGTGTGCGTGCGTGTGTGTAAGGGGCTGTCCCAGCCAATACTAAAGATTAATTATTTAGGTGACCCTTTACTCTTCGTCTGGTCACATGTCCAGGCAGCTCTGGGCTGTTGTTCCTAAGGTTTTGGGCTTCTCCGGCTTTAGTGGGAGAAGGGAAAACCACAATATCATCCAGAGCCAAGTTCACAGACAAGCTCCACCTCTACCCGTGTGAACCAAGGGAGTCACCTTCCCATTCTGGGTCCCCTGGCATACTGGCCAAAGTCACATATAGTGGCAGAGAGGCCTCAAAGTCCCTGGGCATCCCAGGGTGTTAAGTCACCCCCTTCCAGGTGACTATCATTTTATCATTTCCGGGGGAGGGATGTGTGTGGGCCTCACCCCTGAATTTACTCCCTCACCTTGCTATAGATCTATCTCCCTTAAACTGCCTGCTTCCAGAGCTCTGGGTCCTGGACACTAAGCTTGGGAGCAGCTGTTGGGTCCAGAGCACCCTCTGCTGGGTACCACCTGTAAAGGGTGGGTGAGCTCAGGGTGGAGGGATACTCTGCCTTTGGGTGGGTTGGCAAACCCTCTTTCCATCCCTCTGGATCCTGAGGGCCACTGGGGAGCCCCCTCCCTAGCTGATAAGCATCTTCAAAGCTTGCTCAGCAGCCATCGGTCCCCAGGCCCGGGAAAAACTGGTGTGTCCTCCTGGGACCCTCTGCCTCTAGCTTCTGTTTGCACTAGTTGTGCTTTTTGAAGGCGGGGCCAGACAAGGATGGACAAGAGATGTTTTGGGGAAAGACTTCAACGCAATGTGGGGCAAGAATGGGAGGAGACACTCTGAATCCGAACACACACACCCAGAGACCTCTAGGATGCAGTCAGGTTTGGGAAAGAACTCCCCTTCTTCCCCACCAACGAGGCCTGGAAATCTTCCCTTCCAGGGAAAGGCCCTGACTGGATGGCATCCAGACAACCCAGTGCCAGGCTGTCAGAGAGGGTACCCCCCCCCAGGCACACTTCCTTCTCCCCTCCCCCAGCCCCAGCGGATGCAGCAGTTCACACTCTGGATTTATTATTGTTCTCGCTCCTGTCCCCCTCCCTCCTGGGAAGAGCCTGCAGCCTGGCAGCCTGGCAGGAACCTGCTGTCTCCTTGTGGGTGCCAACATCGCCCCTTATCTCCACTCAGTCTCCTTGTGCCAGGGTCAGACCACTCAGGGGCTTGATGCCAGCCAAGGCCACCCTGAGTCCTTGCATCCCACAGCATGGGTGGCCCAGCAGGCCCGTCACCCCTGCCCTACAGTGGACTGCACCCAGGCAAGGGGGGAGGTCACAGCTAGCCCAGCAAGCATGCAGGAGAATGCAGGAACTCAGTGGGGTGGCATAAAGGCAAAAATAACATAGGCCATCTCTCCAGCCAGTTGACACAATTATCTCTGCCACACCAGGGGAAAACAGAGTGAGGAGAAGACAGCTGCTCTGGGACCCCTGCCTGCCTCAGGCGGTCCCTCTCCTCCGCCCTGGCCTCAATGCAGATTTCAGGGGCAAGATTCAGCAGTGCTCCTGACTGGCCTTTTAGGGTCTGGAAGGAGCCACGGCTTTCTCTCACCCAGTTCCCAGACTGGAGGCTGCGGCTTGGCAGGAAGCTGTTGTTATCTGTCTCTCAACCCAGACATGAGTCCCAGACACAGACATTCACATGCATTCAGACGCGGGAGCCACACTCCACCTCGGCTCGAGGGTCAAGGGGAGAGAAGGGAAGGGCTGTGGGCTCCTCAGCATCCCGAGCATCCTCTAAGCGGAGCTGAGGATGGTCCAGCTCCAACCTTTCCAGCCTCACTCCACACATCGTTTCTTGATACCAACCGCCCTTGCCCCTGCCTCTGCCACAGTTTCCATCCCAAGCTTCCTCCAGGTCCCCCATGCTGCCCCTTACCTCGCCCTGGCAGCTGGGGCCAGGCACTGCCTCCTGTAGTGGGCAGCACCTTATCTCTGAACCGCGGCACTGGCTGGCAGGGGTCACGTCTGGATGATGTACTCCGTGGCGTGTGTGTGTGTGTGTGTGTGTGTGTGTGTGTGTGTGTGTGTGTGCGTGCAGGAGGCACCTCGGCCCCTCACTCACACACGCCTTCCTGCTGACGTCAGGATGTGCAGGAGGGAGGGACTGGGCTGGGAATTTGTACTCCCAGCTTAAAGGGACACTAACTAGGCTCTGTCCTCTCTGGCCCAGACGCCACCTCCTGAGCCAGCCACCTCCTGAGTGCTGGGTGAGTGGCTAAGCTGCGTCGCTCCGGGCTTTAATGCTTCCTGTTTTGGAAAGTGGCTTTTATTGCTGGACCAAGGTATAATTTTCCCTATCAGGTCAGGGTAGCTCCTGGGGAATGAATGCAGGGGAGGAAGAGCTGGAGATGGCAGGCACTCCTGGGGACTGGGAACAAATGGGGTGCAGAGGAGTGTTTGTGTGCATACGTTCATACTGGGAGGTCCAACAGGACTGGAGGACGTGTCCTGGAGAAGGGAGGAGCCCAGAGGAATGAGAGATCCTCTGGGAATAAGCCAGGTTCCTAGGGACTCCCAGGCATTCCATCTTCCTCCCCCACCTCCCAGTCTCATATGGAACCCAGCAGCTGGTGCTGAGCTCTGCCCCCTCAGAGGATCTGAGATCTCCGGACGAATGTGCTCAAATCTTTTTGGTGTACATTAGGTTCTTGGGAGGGGCTACTGAATCCAGTGGAAGAGAAGTCTAAAAGAGTAATGAGTGTGCACACAGACACACCCACACATATGCGTACACACGCGCACATGCGCGCACCCCCCCCCCCCCCCACGTACGTACACACACGATCAGGTAGGCTTCTAGAAGAGAGGCCAGGCTCAGCAGATTCAGTCCAAGCAGTTTAGGTCTGGGGTCTCTGGTCAGACAGTCCTGTATTTGACTCTCAAGACCATAGGCAAATCCTTCAGGATTCTAGTCCTCCCCAAGGGGACGACTAAGGTTCCACTGTCTGTGAGCTCAGAAGGCCGCCATAAAGGGGCTTCTCTGCCTCCTTCCTGTCGCTTCTCCTCACCTTCAGCTTACAAAGAAGTCTTTTCAGGCTGGAGAGATGGCTCAGCTGTTAAGAGCACTGCCTGCTCTTCCAGAGGTTCTGAGTTCAATTCCCAGCAACCACACAGTGGCTCACAACCATCTGTAGTAAGAGCTGGTGCCCTCTTCTGGCCTGTAGGCATACATACAGACAGACTACTATATACTTAATAAATGAATAAATCCTTTAAAAAAGTCTTCTCTGGTATCAATTTAGAACTACTGAGTCACACAGGGATGACAAAGGGGCCCTGTGAGCTGGCACAAACTGATAAGTCCCAGCACTCGGGAGGGTAAGGCTGAAAGATTATAAGTTTGAGTCTACTCTGGGCTACCTAGAGAGATCCTGTCACAAACAAACAAATGAAAAACAAAACAAAAACCAAATCAAAATAGACATGGTGGTGCTGGTGCTTACCTGTGATCCCTGCACTAAGAGGCTGAGGACTGTCATTAGTTTAAGGCCAGCCAAGATTCTATGATAAGAACCATAAAAACAAAGCAAAAACAAACAAACCAGGGCTTGGTAGGTAAGCCGCTTTTCCAGGGGACCTGTGTGATTCCCAGTACCCGTGCAGGGCAGGTCACAGCTGCCTGCAACTCCAGCTCTGGAGAGGGATCCAACTCACCTGCACACATACGGCATATAGTCACACAGACCCACTTATCTACATACGCACAAATAAAATTAATTTTTAAAAAAGATCAAGCAGATAAACACATGGTGGCTCACAACCATCTCTATGCAAATGTGAAAATAGAACACTTACATAAAATATCTAAGTAATTAAATCTTAAATGAATTTCTGGTTTGTTTGTTTGGTTGGTTTTTAAAGACAGGGTTTCTCTGTGCAACAGCCCTGGCTGTCCTGAGACTAGCTCTTGTAGACCAGGCTGGCCTTAAACGATCTTAAACTCACAGAGATCTGCCTGTCTCTGCCTCCCAAGTACTGGGATTAAAGGCGTGCACCATCACCACCCCCGGATTATTTTCTTCATTGCACATATGCCTGCAGGCCAGAAGAGATCACTAGATACGTGGGCAGACGTGGGGGGGGGGACGGACTGACTGGAGGACGGGTCAGAACGAGGGAGGACGGGGGTGGTGGGGGGTGGGGTGGTGGGGGGGGTGGGTAAAAGGCTCTCTGCTCAGGTGGGCAATGGGAAGGGGCTGATATGGCAGAAAAAGCGAAGGGAGGCAGTGTGAGGAGCTGACACGCAAGGTGGGAGCCCCAAGTCAAAGACCAGTCCAAGTGTCTCTGGGATTTGGTCCCTTGTGGACCAGGCTAAGGCCAGGGTGAAGGTAGGGCCAAGGTCTTGATCCCTCCCTTTGCATCCAGTTTCCTTTCTCTCCCTGCCACTGGTAAACACAGGCTGGGGCTGCCAGGCAGCAGGGCACAGTGAATGAAGGAGGCTGGCCCTGGTTCGAAGTAGTGTGGTGATTATCTCCCCCGCGCACGGAGAGGGCACAGCTGTTCATTCAGGAAGTGAGCAGCAGAGACACACCCACCCACCCACAAGCCGCTGAGTAACAAAGAAATCGTCTGCTTGCTTCCAGGGGCTCTACGGGAAGGCTATTTTTGTGAACAGCTGAGCATTTAAAAGCTCTTCTCCTCGAAAGCCTTCCTCAACGTGGAGGAGCCAAGGGGGAGGTGGGCGGAGCCAAACAGCCTCTCAGGTCTCAGTCATCTCAATTACACCTCACTGGAGCTCTAAGACCGATGGGGCCAGCCCTGTACCTGCATGGCATCCACTGACTTAACCCTTCAATGCACACAGACCCCCTTATGGTGTCCATACACAGGGCAGATGATAGGAAGTTCAGGCGATGAGAGGTTAAGAACCTTATCCACCCAGGTATAGTGGCTCATACCTGTAATCCCAGCACTCAGGAGGGTGAGGCAGGAGAATCGCCTAGAGGTTGGGGTCAGAATGGTCCACACAGTGAGTTCCAGGCCTGTCTGGACTACGAAGGGAGACTCTGCCTCAAATGAAAACAAAACAAGAAACTTGTCCAGTATCACATAGCTGGTATTAAAATGTAGGATTCCGGGACTGGAGAGATGGTTCAGTGGTTAAGAGCACTGGCTGCTCTTCCAGAGGACCTGAGTTCAATTCTGCATGGTGGCTCACAACTGTCTGTGTAACTGTAGTTCTATAAGATCCAATGCCAGCTGGGCGATGGTGGCACTTGCCTTTAATCCCAGTCCTGGGGAGGCAGATGTAGGCAGATGGAGCTCTGAGTTCAAGGACAGCCTGGTCTACAGAGCTAGTTCCAGGACAACCAAGACTGAACAAAGAAATCCTTTCTCAAGAAACAAAACAAACAAAAAGATCCAATGCCCTCTTCTGGTGTATATATGTACTTGAAAACAAAATACCCATATACATAAAATAAACAATCTTTTTAAAAAATGCAAGGTTTGGGGCTGGAAAGATGGCTTGGTGGTTAAGAGCACTGACTATTTTTCCAGAGGACCTGGGTTCAATTCCCAGCACCCACATGACAGCTCACAACTGTCTGTAAATCCAGTTCCGGGGGATCTGACACCTTCACACCAATGCACATAAAACAAAGTTAAATAAATCATAAACAAAAAGGAAACATACATTTTAAAAAAATGACAAGGTTCAAAAAGGCATGATGAGCCAAGTGGTGGTGGCGCACGCCTTTAATCCCAGCACTCGGGAGGCAGAGGCAGGTGGATCCTGTGAGTTCGAGGCCAGCCTGGTCTACAAAGTGAGTTCCAGGACAGGCTCCAAAGCTACAGAGAAACCTTGTCTCGAAAAACAAACAAAACAAAACAAAACATAAAGGCATGATGGTGCATGCCTGCCTTCCCAGCACCTGGGAAATAGTAGGAGGTCTGGGAGCTTCAGCACAGCCCCAACGACCTTGCCATACTTTGTCTTGGAGGGGAAAAAGCCCAGGCTCTGGCTCCTTTACGTTCTTGTTCTTTCTGCTATGCCACAGTACATTTGAAGGGGCTTCTTATCCCCCAGGCACCCATCTCCTCTGCCATGGGGCTCATCTTTCAGCACTTAAAGAACAAGTTCTGCATGTATTTACATGTATGTGCATGCGTGCTCACCGTGGCACGTTCGAGGAGGTCAGAGGACAGTCTGGGAGAGTTGGTTCCCTACTCTCAGATGTGGGCCTTGGGATCAAATGTAGGTCCTCAGGAAGTGGCAAACAACCCCAGCCGGGCTCTTTTCTAGGTGCTGGGGAATCCAGCCAATGAAGCAGGAACTCTGTCTTCATGGAGCTGACAGTCGAGTAGGGAGAAGGCAATAAAACCACTTAATAACCACGTGCAGTCATGTTAGAAGGCAATAAATGTTCCTGAGGACTAGAAGCAGGAAGTAGGATAGGGAGTGGCTGGTAGTGGATGGCTTGTGACTGAAAATGGGAGGTCAGGTAAACCCCAGCCCGGCTCCTCCCCAAGGGTGACAAAGCACTATGGGGTCCAGACAAGAAGACAGAGTTTATTTTATTGCTTGTGCTGGTCATCACCAGCCTGCCTTCGTTTTAGGCTTGAAAGCCATCTTAATGTACAGACAAACTAGGCTCGTTCCTGTTTGTGATTAAATCTGTTTCTCAAGGACTGGGCTGCGCCCCAACTGTAACCTCAACTACAAATGGGTCTGTACTGCCTGCTGCAGGAAACAGTAGTCATGCCGTAGTTTCTTTTTTTTTTTTGGTTTTTCGAGACAGGGTTTCTCTGTAGTTTTGGAGCCTGTCCTGGAACTAGCTCTTGTAGACCAGGCTGGTCTCGAACTCACAGAGATCCGCCTGCCTCTGCCTCCCGAGTGCTGGGATTAAAGGCGTGTGCCACCACCGCCCGGCTCATGCCGTAGTTTCTAAAGGTTGTTATGACCACCTGTTGTTCTAACCACCTTGTTATGACCACCTTGTTTTGTTCTGCTCCTTTAGCCCCCCCATTTGCCTGCTAAATTCCCCATTTGGAAACCCCCATCTCTGGGCTATAAAAGCCTCATCTTCCCCATAACAAATGCTGATCTCTTGAAC